AGCGGGGCTGCCTAGACCCTGTGCTGCAGAGAAAAATTGTATTAAACATCAGCTGAACGTTTTGATTACTGGTTGGATTCCCAAAAGGGTGCTTGGGGTTTGGGGTAGAATCATTCTTGTATTCACATCTGCTGGCTTTCAGTGTTTTGCAAGACAGGGAAGAAGGGAGAAGGACTTTGAAAAAAAATAACTGAATATAAAAAGGCAGAGATCCTGCCAAAGGCATGGGGAAGCTTTTGGCTACCCAAAAGCAAAGCTGAACTGGAAGGTCAATATTGGTTTCAAATTCCAAGGAAAAACTCAGATTAAAAGAGAAATCCTGCTTCAAAAATTTGCATTTAGAACAGGACGATGGGCAGGAGCATCCCTTCAGGCATGTCTCCTCTCTCAGAAAGGACATATTCCCAGCTCCCCCTATCTAAACAGTAAACCCACTGCTCAAACTAACCACTCAATCTCTGTCACGATCGTAGCATGGACCACTTGATCCTTGACCCCTTCGACCACAGCGTTGATCTGGCAGCAATCTGTTCAGTCACTCACGGCACAAAGGAACTCCTGCATGCAGAAGGAGAGGGGAAAATGCAATTAAAACGAGCGGGCAGAAGGTGTTTAGACATTTGGCAGAGTCTACCCAGAAGCATACCTATGGCTGGGGTGCAAGGTCCATAACACTGGTCTGGGCATTTCCATGTCCATCCCGGGAGCACCCTGGCCTTGCTGCAGTGCTCCTGGGCTCTGGGCAGCCACCAGCACCAGCCACAATTTCCTTTAAAGTAAAGCCACTGCCAGGGCTTTCTTATTGCCTAGGATCTGTTGCCAAACCAACTTTCTAGTCGGGATATCAGGGATAATCTTCTGTGCCCTTCTTCCCATGAACACTTCAGAAGGTTTTAGCCTGCCTTTGCTTTCATCAGGCCCCAGAGAAACTTGCTTGCAAATGCACCTTTTTATATATTCACTCTATATCCCTATAGCCTTTGCTATAGTCATTCATGGGTATGTTGGGACTCTGTTTCTGGTAGGACAGAGACCTGGTAAGATCTCTCAGCCCCTTGCAATTGGTGACCAATTGCTTTTTCTTCTTGTTTGGCACAGGCAGAATCATAGAAAAGTGAATATAATTTTTTTTTTTTACCAGCATTGAGCTCTCAGTCTCACAAAATGCTGCCTTCATGTGAGCTGTCTGAGGATCACAGCTATTTCAGGCAACTTTGATGTTACCAAAGAGCTATTTCTGGGGGCCCTGTGTGATTACATGGGGACTGCAGAAGGCTTGGGGCTGTTAACAACCATTTCAGGCAAGTCCTTTAAGTAGCTTGATTTCTGGCACCTGGTTGACAAAAGGCATGATCCGAAGCCAAGATTATCAGAAGAGAACTTCTAGACTTGAATTTCCCCAGCAGTCATCACTGGTCTACTCTGTATACATTGATTTATCTTTGTGTTTGGGAAAAAAACCAAACCCAACAAAAAAGGGGTTGGAAATACCCCCCTAGTAAGAGGAACCAACCCCATACTTTGCCCATTGGCTCTCCCTCGTCCCCATTCATTTTTCAGTGCTGGTTGTTTTACTGATATTTGTTTGACTGCTGACTTACGATTTTTATGTATGCCCAAGACTGGACACCAGCACCTTGAAGCCATATTGGTGTCAAGTGGAAGCAATGACTGTGATATGAGAAATCTTTGGCATCTGCCTGACTCGGGGGTATGGTAACAAGGCTTTTCCAAGACAAATCATGATGGCTGATGGTTACGTCGTGCTGAGTACACATCCCCTGTGTGCAGGGGATGCCTTGTTTGTGACTTGATGGTAAATTAGCAGCTAATATCAGATTTTTTTACTTTATTTTTTAAAATTTATTTGGCAATTTCATTTTAACACATCCAAGTGCTTTGTTATTTTGTTCCCCACTCACCCGGCAGGGGATGCAGAAAGCCATGGGGCAGTGTGTGTTAGGTCTGGGAGCATGTTCACATAGAAGTTTTCTCTTTTTGAAGGAAGCCAGTATTTTTAATGGGAAAACGATGGTGCCAATGCTTTTCCCCTTGCAGCTCAGCTAGTTCTCTCCCAGTTATACCTGCCAACTAATTTCCTGCAAATCCAGAGGATTTGCAGAAAACCGCTGCTGTACAGCACTCTTCCGTCAATTCAGCATCGCTCTGCAGATGCACGACAGCAACACAGCCAAAGGCTTGTGGATCAGGGCTGGTGACCTCCAAAGAAAGACCTTCTCTTTGCAAACTAAGAGATGGGATTTAGCCAAGGAGATGTGCAAAGTCCATGCTGTGTTTGCCCTTTCTGAGCTTGCATGCCAGCCCTGCTTGCAGGCATTTCTCTGCTATGTGAATACATCCAGAGGGGCTGTGTTTCACCCAGGAGTGCTATTGCTTACTTTTCTTGCTCCTGCTTTTATCCGCAGTTGTGGATAGCTGCCAGCTGCAAAAAGATGAGGGGACCTGCAGGAACTTTGTGCTGAAATGGTACTATGACCCTGAGACCAAGAGCTGCGCCCGGTTCTGGTACGGCGGCTGTGGAGGCAACGAGAATAGATTTCACACGCAAAAAGAATGTGAAAAAGTTTGCGTCCCTGGTAAGCAGCATAAGTGTGGCTGGAGAAGGGGCCAGCCAGGTCCCTGGCATTTCCAGTCCAGTGCATGGCTGTTGTGAGCTTGCTTGTGGCGCTCTGGACTCCATTAACCTTCCCTCACTAGCCTGAAGCTTCCCACTCATGGAATAACCTCATTTATTTTCTCTTGCTCCATCAAACCTTTTCAGGTAACATCAGCCCTGGCGTGGTGACAACAATAGGGACATAGAGCCAGCGACCTGTCAACACATACCTCTGAAACAGCCAGGAGCATCAGCCATTGCCACCTTACCCCTATAGAAGCTAAGGGTATAGACTACCTTGCACTGTACTATTTCATGCTTTTAACTTCCAAGCAAACCTTGGAGAAAGTGTTTTGCTGCATGACCTATCAATATGGTGCTAAACTGTTTGTGGACTGAGTGCTACGTGTGTCCGGGTTATATTGTATAGCTTCAACATTACCAAATATTTACCTAATTGCAGATTGTTATTGTCTCAGAACATGTCTCTAAATTACCCTTTCTTTCTGATTCTGGCAGTCTGCCTGTCTAAGGCACTGTGAAAATGAGACCAAAAAAAAAAAAAAGTAATAATTTCACTGCAACTGTTACATGCTTGCTTTTATCATTTTCATAACTAAGCATAACTTTACAGGGGAAGCCTTCATGTAAGAGAGTAGCTAATTCTGATAAACAAGCAGTTCAATTTTTCATTCTTCCTTTTTTATTTTTTTTTCTCCTTTTGCTGGATTAGATTTCAAACTAGATCTCTTGTATGCATTTGTAACATATGTGGCCAACTGAACTAGCAAGGAAATGGAAGCAAGGTTTCCAAATGCAAACGCACTGCTGGGACCAAGGCCTCAGTTAACAAATTTTTAAATTGTGGTGTAGGATGCCTCTGGCATTCTTCTGATGTTGTATGTTTTATAAAACACAAAGCAAAGCAATTTGGGGAGGGAGATGGTGGGTGGGAGGGGGGTTTTATTTTTATTGTGGATTCTGTGACAGGAAGTCTATACAAAGAACTTTTAAATAAAGTCTAATGGAGGTTTTGAGAAACTCGTGGGTTTTGTCTTTGTAAAAGCCATGGTGGGCATCAGTGGAGTAATTTTCAGAGGTCTGGAAAGCATTTATTTGGAGGGAAATCCCACTGGTCATTAAAGCAAAGGTGGATGTAGTATGGATATTCAGAGGGACATTACCGAGGATCTGCTGGTAACCTGGAATTTTCCAGCTTGGAAAAAGATGGAAACGGAGACGTCTCAGTTGTGAAATCTCCGTGTTGAAGGAATTTAAACTCGTGGCCCTGGCCATGAGTGGACATGGCCCTGAGCAACCCAGCCTCAGCTGGCCCTGCTTTGAGCCGGGTGTTGGACCAGAGGCATCTGGAGGTCCCTTCCAACCTGCACAACTCAACGACCCCACAGGCATTTTTGGGTGTCTCCACTTTTCACAGCCATGGTTATTTTTACCCCAGGGTATTCCTGTCCTTACCTGAGCTTACCAAAGGAAGCTAAAAGTCACAGAAGCAATGCACATTTCCCTCCAAAAAGTTCCCATAAAAGGATGAAGCAGATGAACTCCATCCCCCCAGTGCACGGGGCAGCTCTGGGCTTTGGGGCTGAAGTCCTAAATTTCCCCAAGTCTCAGTTGTAGTCTGCAGGTGGGGGTTGATAACACCTCCCATGGCCTGGTGGAGGTACTGAGAAGGAAGATGTCAGCCCTGCAGGCACATGCCATGGAAGGGGCAGCTGAAAGCAAAAACCAGAGCAGGCCCACAGGGGAGAGGGTCTTTACTCACTTCTGGAGAACAGGGTTGCATTGGCTAAACCAACCTTGGAAAGAAGAGCAAGCTTACAAGTCTGGAGCTTGTCCAGTGTCTTCCTCCATGGGTCAGGGTGGGACTGTCACAAGGAGAAGGTGGCGTGATGCTCACGTGCGCCACCCTTTGGAGTGATACTTTCTGAAGCATCTTAAGTGGGTCTTCAAGGACCAAGACATGAGACTCTCCACGTGCATTGTACACAATGCCTTTGAAAGCAACTCTCCCAACAGGACAATTTGCCTTCCAAAACACCATTTACAAGACTAAACTAAGCCGGCCAAACACCTCAGGTTCTCTGTTCAATGCTGCACACAATCCACAGCGGCCCAAGAGCCTCACATTGACTTGTCCATGTGCAGATTCATCATGACAAGTGGAGCGCATAGGGCTGCTCTGGGCTTTGTCCCCGTGGAGATTCACACTTTTAGGTGTCCCAGCTTTTATACCATTCCCAGCACACAGAGCAGCCTAGATCCCAAAATTTCCCATCAGTACTAAGCCATTATTGTGCAGGGTTAGGGGACAGCAGGGACCCTGCTCAGCTGGGGATCAGCTGGAAAGCTGTGCTGTTTATTTGGCACCCTCTCCGAGCACATCACAAGAGCTTCATTAAAAAAGAGGGGAATGGGTAATTTTTTATTTATTTATTTTTGTAACTGGCTCTTGCAATGGCTGCATCAAAGGACAGAGCAGCCTGCCCCGCATTTCTCTGTGCATGGGGGAGCATAACCAAGACCCCCTTTTTTGCTCTCATGGGTATAAAAGTTTCAGCTAGGTTAAAGTGACCCACAAATCATCCTTCCCTCTGGCCTCCCACCCCTCTGCCGCATGGGAGAGGTTTTCCCAATGCCAGTGCCGCCTCCACTTCCCAGGAAAGCTGCCTTCAATGGACCATGCATGTCTCCAGGATGCGAAGGCACAGCATGCCGGGGGGGAGCAGGCAGCTTGGGAAGGCACCCTCCCCCAATCCCCTCCCACCCCTGGGGCTGTGGGGCGTTGCAGTCACCTCTCACAAGCCTTTTAAGGAAGCACGTTACGCCCCAGGCCCCCGGCCAGCCCAGGGTTACAGATGGAAATCATCTGCAGCTGGGAGTGCATCTGCCAGCGTGGCTGCAGGACCAGACCAAGAGTAAAAATAGCTCAGCCCAGCTCAGCAGAGCCCCGAGCAGCGTGCTCCACTCCTGGCTGTCGATGGCTAGCTCCGACATCTGCACCCTGCCCCTCTTGGGGTGGCCTTTGCCGTCTCACACCACCATTTATTAGCACCCCTGTGCTGCAGCTCCAGCTAGCATCCTCCCAGTTGCCAAGCTCCCCCATGTTAGGGGCAGGGGCTGCTCCCTTAATTTTTTTTTTTCTGCAGACAAATGAGCTCTGGTTAAACAGTTCCCATCCCCTTGTGAAACCATTTATTTGCAGCATCCTAAAAGAAACGTAGGCACTGTGTTGATGAACTCAAGACAGATGTGATGGATAGATGTGCTGTAATCCAGAGGACACAGTCTTTTAAGCAGGACTTCTTATGAGGAGATCCCAACTAAATCTTTGGCATGAAAAATGCTTGTGACTTTGCTTTGAAAGGTACAGTGTCAGTCTTCCACCCCTGCCTGAGACTGAGAAGCAAAGACATAAAAGCTAGAGTCAAGCCTAGCATTTCCCCATAAGCTGAAGGCACATCATGAAATAAAAGAGCTTCACTGGAAGCAAAGTCTCCTGGTGAAGACCTGTTCTGTGCTCTAATGCTGTTTAGAAAGTCTCTCCAACTTTTGGCATGAGCCCTGAGCAAGCTGCTGGAGTACATGTCCTATGGTTAGGCTGATGCTCTCAAACCCTTGGGTCATGGCCTGAAAAGGACTCGCATGCCTGAAAGCCTGCTTTCTAGAGGCACATCAGCCTAATAAAAGATACTATCACTCCTAATGAACTGCATCTCTCATTGCCAGACCACAACAGCTATGTCACTTCTACTAATGGCCAAGGCATCTTGCAAAAAGTTCAGCGTCAGCGGAGAGGGTAACCTGGCATCCTCCTCGTACTCTGACCTGCTCGCATCTTCTTTTGGATAGGCTTGGCCACATGTTTTAGCATAACTTGCCTGTGTGACTCATGGCCGGAGGCACCCTGAAGCCATGTTAGAAAGGTCTGACCATCAATAAAGACAGTATGGTTGAGATGTGGCTGCCTACATCTAGGTGTGATATGTCATTTGAGAAACTCTCTTGCAATAGCCAGTCTCAAATTGCACTTGCTGTAATTGAAACCCAGAGGGTTTTGGATGAACACGCTGCCCTTGTATACAAGTGAGCTACGAGTCCACAGGGTTCAACACCAGAGCAGAGACATAACCTTTTATGATACCTATGATATCATAAAATTGAACAGTAGGACATGTAGCAGAGTTAAGCATTGCAGCCAGACCCTTAAATTTAGGATAGCACCAGCATTTAATGCTTGGTTAGATTCTCTTAATGCTGTACCTTTGCATTTAATCATAGCCTTCTTGGGAAACCTTTAAAAGAAGAGACAAAGTGGCTCTCGCACTTATTAGCCAGTACTAAATTTATTACATCACTAAAAGAAGCCCATACAAAAGTACATAGATGTACACATGTACCTGCCTACCTCCTTTCAGCTAATGTGGGTTTTCCAGCAACGCCACGCCAAAGCAATGCCCTACACCATGAATGTTGACATTGCAAGGTCAAGAGCTTAAGGAAAAGGATGTCTTTCACGCTGGGTGTTTCTGGAAATTAGGACTGCATCCAAGTGCTTCAGCATAGATGCAGATAAACTTGAAGCAGCTGAGCCTGGAGAAAAGGATCTTCAGATAATTGAGACATAAGTGTGGGCATTTCCTCGGCCATGAGTCTTCTATGTGGCCATCACTCTACCCTTCATCCCTTCTTGCTTCAGCCTCCTGCTTGTGAGACGGACATACATCTCCCAACCCTAAAAATCATTGAACCTCTGGGTAACAAGGAGGTGATAAGCTGAGATAAGAGGATTTGGAAGATGCTAGATTTTGTAGGTGCTCTTTTGCTTTCTGCCTAATTGTTACAGCCCCTGCACACCCACAAGCTCTTTGAGGCAGGTTCATCACTCCTGGGGAGCAGCGTCTCCCAGTGAGCTCACTGCAAACAAAGCACCATTCCTGCAAGCTGAGCTGATCACTCAGCTGCTGGCGTGCCTGCCACCAAGACCGGCATCCCAGATGACTTTAAATCACAAGATAATTTTAAACCATGGTAATTTCTCAGTCCTTGCCACCCTCCCAGAGCCCCAGCCCAGCAGCCGGGGACTGCTCACAAAATGGCAGCAGGCAGCTTGCTGGAGGCACAGCCTTTCCAAAAGCAAAACCCATGGCTAAATTGGACATGGCAGGGTAAACAGCCACAGCAAATAGCTGGGACTGTGCTCCAGCTGCGGGATGATTTATGAGACGGCAGGAGTCGGTCTTTTCTTTGGTTAAACAGAGCAGATCCAAACCAGATGTCTAACCTTTATCTCGATTGCTGCAGAGACGGAGGAGCAGACAGGGAGAGAGAAAGACATTTGAGTTTCCATTAGCTTCCACTCCGCTGTCTTCCAAAGTCAGCTCATAAAGAAAAATGAACACCATCAGCCAGGAAACTTTGCTTTGGTGAACTATATGTTTTGTTTCAATCACTGCTGCTATAGCAACCATGCCGAAATAAAAGGGCAGCAGGCTGCGATGACCTCACCGTATTACTCTATTAAAATCTGATATTATAAAGATATAACCTCAGCAGATGACTGAAAATTTGCTCATAGCCATGGATGTGGTCTCCGGGAAAGTGGGGCTGGGGAAGGGCAAGTACAGGGGGAATGAAGTCAGGAGGTTGAGGCACCATGTTTTGGGATTTTTTTCCTACCAAGGAAGCAAGTGAGATGAGTGGAAGAGAGATGTGGGGGAGAGAGAGATGGGCTCTGCCTTGTGTTTCCAGAGAAGGGGTGACTTTTTGCCACCCATGATGAAAAGCTTGTGGGAAGGCTCTGCTGAGAGAAGACCACGCCGTGTGGTTTCACAGACCAGTGTAAGCAATGGGGATTTCCAAACCAAAAGCCTGAAGTATTCACACTCCTTAGCTCAATGCCTAGACAGGCAGGGAAATATCCTTGGAATAACATCCAGCTCTGAAACTTATCAGAACCAGCTTCAAAACCTGGGGTGAAAGCACCCCAGTGTGCTGCTGGGAATTTCGTCTGAGATGT